CACACACACACACACACACACACACACACACACATATGTGCATGTATGTAAATATGAAATCTCAATCACCACAATTTTGAAAGGTACGTGTTGTGATCCTATTTTGCAGATGGCAATTCTGAGGTACAGAGAAGTTGGTCAAATTGTTTAACGTGGCACACAGGAATTGTTCTTTCTGTCACCAAATAACTAAGAAAGCATCTAATTTTAAAGGTAAATACCAGGATTCCAGCCCCAGGCCTACTGCTTACTATGTGTGCAACCTTATCTATTTAAGAAAAGGGCGAAGAGGGATAATGCTGCACTCAGTCTATCACAGAGCACTCTTGTGAGCATCAACTAAGGGATGTGGAGGTTTTTTATAAACTACAGAAGTGTTTATAGGCATGTAAATAATCATTTTTGTTAGAGGAAACAGTTACTTTCCCCTATGCGTTTCAAACGTTCTATAAATCTGTAAGTTAAAAAACAACTTTGGACAGCACTTTATTGAATCAACAAACACCTACTGAAATAGTTGGAAAAGACTGGCCTGAAACACTACACATTGTCACCTTGGAGGAGAATCATCCTGCTTTTTAAATCCGGGAGGAAGAGCTGGTCCAAAAAACCCTTCATCATCATCGTCATCATCCTGAGTTCTCCTCTGTTTTCTAAAAACACAGTAGTACAACGTTACGCAAATTTTTTTCACAGAGAATTTTAAGTTTTAAAGGAAGCATTAACTCCAACTAGTTGTATAAACACTGAAACAATAAATTCATCTTGCCCAATGAGAACAAATGGACACCACAGTTGATCTTATATCAACATTTTCCTGGAATTTATTTTTGGCCTAAAATAGCGCCATATTTTCTATGGCAGTAGTTTTCTATATTTTCTATAGCGTTAAAGATTCCACTTTACTGAGGTTTCGAAGAGTCTACTTGCTGAATGTTTTTGAGCAAAAAGTTTGACGCTAGCTGTTTATCTCATGCAGGAAGGTTTTAAGTTGCTAGTTCTATCTTATCTTTAAAACGCATCAAAAAACCCTTGCTACCCAATACTAAACAAAAATTCCACTTTTCTTTACATGGACCCATGGCAAGGAAGGGTAGTTAGAAGGAAATCATTCATTTACTTAAGCAAAAACCGTACACTGCATAAATAATTTCTAAAAGAAATCCTATGGCTCATCTAGAATATGTATTTAGACACTTCAGTAATACCTTAAGAAAAAATCTTTTAGATAAGAATTTAATTGAAATCCTAGATGTCTCCACAACTATCTACTACAATAAATTTCCTTCTAGAAGGCGTAGTTCCTGACGAAATGCCATATGAAACGATTTCTTCCTGTGCTGTAAAGATACAGATATGGCATTCCTGACTATCTGTTCCAGCCAAAGTATACTAGGTTTGAAGCTTGGTTTATTTAAGTGACTGACCTTGCACTTGGACCAGTGTCATCTTCTTCAGATTCTTGATTTCCTTCTTCGTACAATGAACTACTGTCCTCATCACTGTCTGATGACTCTGAGCTACTGCTTTTATAATTAGGGGGTAAAGCTGGTCCTGCAACTATAGGAAATTTCTTGTTTAAGTCACAATTGGTCATAATTGTTGCAATTATGCATAACTGTGCAATTATGCATAAAATGTTTCAATGAACTCCTTAGCCAACACTTTATACTTTATTTTCTATTTTTATAAAAGTATACATTTTATATTTTCTTACACGATACATCTTCCCAGCACTCGCTGGCTATTACTTATTATGAACTTTTATCTCATTTGTTCCTGTTTTGTGCACAAAACAAATAGGGGAAGGGATTCAGATTAAAAATGGAAGGACTAGCCTTAGAAGAAGGTAGTGCACCTTTCTATTGTAATCACAGGGAAGACAAAAAAGCTGAGCAAAGATTCAGGGAAGTTTTCAGGTATAGTGCAGAAAATAGAGTTAGTTCTTTTAAGATGGCATTTACTCTTCCAGTGAAGTAGAGGGAAAGACAGTCTGAGGAAGAAAAAGAGGCTTTTAAAAAACCATGGTTGAGATTAGGGAGAGAACTGCATGGGGAAACTGTCCGAGGACTGCTGGGCACAGCTGAGAACCCAATTAGGGAGGAGACTGTAATTTTTCGTAACATTAGCCTGTGGAGCTGTGAAGTTTTTTCTAGCAGCATTTGGAAGGCTGGATGTAGGCTCATGAGAAGGTAAACATTTGGAATGATCTAGAGCTGGGTTTTTGCCAGATGAGTTTAACAGAATACTGAATGGGTAAGGCAGCTGAAAACATTGCAAGAGAATGGATGAATTGATGGACTGTGAGGTCTAAGTCAAATAGGGGCAGAAGCAATTAAAAGGAGGAGGCCAAAAAGGATAGAAGGCAGGGTCTGCAGAGCTCAATGAGGTTAAACAACAACAACAACAACAACAACAACAACAACAACAACAACAAAGTCTAACAAGAATAACTGAATGAGAATGAAAAGGTTCTTGCTGAGAAAGAAACTTGAATTTAAGTTTTCAGAGATAGAACAGAGTCCAGTGTGTGATTAGAAATGCAGCTGAAATTCGTGGAGGTGATGGTCATTGCAGAGTCTGAAGTTGGAGTCAAAATAGCAAAGGCTCCACCTATTTTCCACAAGGCAGCATCTGGAGTACATAGACTGGTCTTGAGAAAACATCTCCACACCCCTCTCCCCGAGTTTTCTAATGACATGATCTCAGGGGACATTTCCCAGCATTCAATATTCCAAGGTATTTGAGTAAAGTTAATTTGTTCCATCTCAGACCTGTGTGCTCACTCCCTCTTCCAAACTCAGTGATCTCTTTCAGGAGGGTAGCTGAGTGTGAGGAACACAGGACAGATATCAGACTGGGTTCAAGAATCCCCCACCTGAGAGCAATTCTGGTGCATGCTACAACATGGATGAACTCCAAAGACATTACGTTAAGTGAAAATGCCAGTCACAAGAAGATAGGTACTGTATGATTCCACTTATCTGAGAGACCTAGAGTAGTTAAATTTACAGAGACAGAAAGTAGAATGGTGGCTTCCAGGAACTGGGGGAAATGGGAATGGGAACAGGGACTTACTGTTTAATGAGTACAGAATTTCAATTTTGCAAGAAGAAAAGCATTCTGGAAATGGATAGTGGTGATGGTTGCACAATGTCAATGTACTTAGTGATGAACTGTACGCTTAAAGGTGGTTAAGATGGTAAATGTTATGTGTATTCTACCAGAATGAAAAAGAAAAAAACTAGATGCACATTTGTGGTCACATGATTTACAAAGAAAGTGACATTATAGTGCAGTATGGAAGGGAGGGTGATGGATCAATTAGAAACCTGTGAGGAAAAAAATAAATCTTCACCCCTACCTCACACCATATATAAGTATCAACTCCAGATGGACTGCAAATATAAACGTGAAAGATAAAATAGTAATGCTTGCAGGATAAAACAAAGGAGAGTAACTCTGTAACCTCAGAAGAGGCAAAGACTACTTAAATAGGGTACAAAAAGCTCTAACCATAAAAGAAGAAAAACTAAAAATTAGAATGTACCGAAATTAAAAACTTCTGTTCATCAACACATACAAATGAGAGGGAAAAGGCAAGCCACAGAATTAGAGGAGATATTTGCAACATGCATAACTGAAAAAATGACTTGTCCAGACTACATAAAGAACTCAACAACAACAAAAACAGCAAAGAACTCAACAGGCCAGTAAGGAAAGACAGATCAGTGGAAAAATGAACAAAAGACTGATTTTAGCAGTATGTACTAAAGCTGAATGTAGACATATCCAGTGATCCAAAAATTTCAAAAGGAATGCAACATGTATTCACTAAAAGGTAGAGCAAACATTAAAGGAGATAGAAATGCATGAAGAGTCTAAAAAGCACTTATCTGGCAAATACAAAGTGCCCACTCTGTATTAAGGCTAGAAGACCATACTACAATGGTGCAAGCAGATATGCTGACAAGTTATTCAAAACAGCGTATTAAATATATGATGTAATTAAGTGGAAGAAAACCCTGTGGGGGAAAAAGAGGGTGTGACAATGCTTGGGAGAGTTTGGAAATGCTTCACTGAAGCCTTCGCTGACACTGAAGTTGGGCCTCGGAGGATGGGGTAGGAGTTCGTCAGGTATGTCAAAAAATGCAGAGTGGGGCCAGAAAGCTCCTAGAGAATTGAGAAACTGCGCAGAAACTGGAACTAGTTCAGTACTGGGCTGTGTGTGTCAGGTACAATGACAGGAGGAGAGGCTAGGAAGGCAGGTCGGGGGCTAAGGAGCAAAGCATCCCCTGCAAGAGCCATGAGCACTGTTCGTCAGAAGGCAATATGGCACAGAGGTTAGGCGCACTGGCTGTGTTCTAAATTGGGCTCCACCATTTACCAGCCGTGTGATACGGGCAACAGCCTGGGCTTCAGTGTTCCCGTTTATAACATGGAAATGATCATCTTTACTTCATACGGTTTCTAGGAGGATTAAATGACAATGTGTATCGATCGTTTAGCACAGGGTCCGGCCCGTTAACCGTTAAATGGGAATACATCTTCATTACAATGATTACCATCCCCCCTCCCCCCACCCCCCACGCTCGCCCCGTTCCAGCGCCACCTCCCCGCTACCGCTAGAGAAGCAAAGTTAGCTCCGGTCCTCCTCGCCCACTTGCCACTGCTCCACCGTTTCAGGCCTTAGATCTCAATTCCGAGAGTGGGACCGGGCCAGAAAAGGGGCGGACAGGCCTGGCGGGCAGCGTACACGCCGGCCGCTTACCAGGGCTGGGGTCTCGCTCCTCGTCCTCTGCTGTCCCGCGAGCCTTGAAGCCGGGCGGCAGCGCCGGCCCGATCAGATCCCTCGCCATCCGCGGTAGCGGACACCGGTCTAGCCTACAACCCTATCCACGCAGCGTCAAACCTACCCAAAAGGCAGCCCGGGATACGCCGCAAACGGCAGGAAGTTTTTCCGGCGCCGACCAATGACGTAGCAGCCCGTGGTTGGCAGAGTCCTGTAATTCACGAGACCGGAAGTGACGCATAAAGCTTGCTCCATATTCGCATGCTAGGTTTTCTACCTGGCTGGAGGCATGGCTGAGCCTGCTGGTGATTTCGTGACTTCTAACGGGTGGCTTCCAGCATCCGAGCTGACCCCCACGTTGGGGCCTCTGAGAGACACTGCTTCACTGTCTGACAACTGGATGTTCTGGGCAATGCTGCCGCCGCCACCACCGCCTTCGTCGTCGCCTCCCGTACGAGGGTCAGAGCCTTCCTCAGGGGAGCAGCACCCCCAGGAAGCCCAGGCTCTCCCCGAGGCGCCTCCTCCCTTCGACGCCCAGATTCTTCCCGGGGCGCAGCCTCCCTTCGACGCCCAGTCCCCCCTTGATTCTCAGCCTCAACTCAACGGCCAGCCTTCCTGGAATTTCCAGGCTTCTACATCGTGGTACTGGAGACAGTCTCCTGGTGTTTTTCCTGGATATCAGAACACTCCGGGTAGGCTATTACTCTTTTCCTTACCGCCCCTTTACTTTTCTTTTTCCCTTCTTCCCTTTCCCACTTTTCCCTTTCTCTACTTTTGATTCTGCCCTGCACTCTTGGGGGTCTGGTCAGTTAAGGTCTCACAATTTGACCGGAATGTTTGCTCTGATTGTTCAGTCTGTTTAGCCGCTGAGGAACTGGGAATATAGCAGTGAACGAAACATAGAAAAATCCCTATTTTTATGTAGCTTAACATTTCCTGGTGGAGACAGAATTAAAAAAAAAAAAAAGCAGTGTGTATTAGAAGACAGTGAGTGCTACCTAGAGAGAGAAAGCAAAGAAGGTGATAGGTAGTTCTGGTGTAATTGTCGGTGTCAGTCATAATGAAGGTGACATTTGAGCAGAGACTTCAAGGAGGTGAGTGCTCAGAGCTATGGGGACCGCTGGGGGAATAGGATGCAGGCAGAATGAACTCCCAAGTGCAAAGAGCTTGAGGCAGGTGCTATAGATCAGAATGGAAACCACTGTGGCTAGAGGGGAGCAATCCTGGGGTCGAATTGTAGAAGACTGGGGAAGAGGACAGACCTGCTAGGGCCTTGTAGACGATGGGATTTTGACTTTTTACTCTTGTGATAAGGATAGTGCGGGGGAGTGGCATAATTTATGTTTTAGAAGGATTAATGTGGCTACTCATGGGAATTGACTTAAAAGGAGATGAGTTAGGAAGCTATTGCAGTTATCCAAGTGAGAGATACTGGGGACTTGGACCAGGGCGGAGCTCTGGAGGTGATGAGAAGTGTTGGATTCTGGATCTGTTTTGAAGGTAGGTTTGGGCCAACACGATTTGCAGGCTGTGAGGTAAACTCAAGACAAGAATAACTTAGTTTTTTGCCAGTCAAGCAGAAAGATGTGGATTGAACAGATTTGGAAGAAAGACCAGGAGTTCAGTTTGAAATACGTGTCAAGAAGATATATCAAATAAGCTGCTAGTTTGTACTTTCAGGGGAGATTTGTGGCTAGAGCTGTGAATTTGGGTGTCATCTGCATACAGATCATATTTAAAGCCATGAGATTGTTTACTTAAAACCTTCTCCAACTCTGCCTAAGGTTATTTTACATTAACTTGATGCCAAATCAGCCTTTACTGTGTGCCAAATGCTGGGAATGTGAATGCGCCTAAGACGGTCCTGAGACAGGTGAGATGGGTTCACAAATAATAACCACAACGCAGCATGACTGGTGCTGGAGGCATATGAAAGGTGATTTCAGAGTGTGGAGGAGGTTGGGGAAAGTTTTTGGAAGACGTGTCTTGGGAGATGTTTAGGATTTTGGAAGAGATATTTTTGTAAGTCGGGGTGAAGAGGTGTAAGTACAAGTTGAGTTCTAAAGATTGCACTTTCTGTTGCGACTGAAGCTGAGTAAGTGGAGGGTATGGGGGAAGAGTAGCATGAGAAAATATACCGGCGTCTCACTGAAGGATTCTGGGAAGTCATTCGTAGATTTTCCAGCAAGCTTGTGACCATTGGAGGATTATTTTTCGGTGGTGTCAGTGCACAGTGTCTATTGGAAGAGAGGGCTTAGGAACTGGAAGACAGTCTGGGAGGCTGTCAAAGTAATCTTGGTGAAGGATCAGGGTTTCAGAGCTGGATCACAGCCATAAGAAAGGAAAGAATTTGAGAGAAAACGTATTTCACAAGGTTGTTTTCCTGGTATAAAATTGATGCTGAAAAGCTGTATTGGGATAGTATTGTTTACATTTCTAATGTTTGAAATAACAAGAAATGTCATCAAGGTTAGAGTAGCCATTCCTTTCTTTGATGCCTTTGAAGCATTGTATGGACATCTAATCTTACCAATTATGTGTTCATTTGAAAAATATTTATTTGGTACACTAGTCTTAATCTTTGTTAGTTTGTTCGAACTACTTTTCTTCCTAGAAGAGGTAGTTTCTACCCAAGTATTTGTGACATCATAGAGCAAATAAAAATTTAAAAAATTGTATAGTCGCAAATATTTATGGATTTCTTTTTGTTTCTTAGTTAAGCGTTCTTATTTTCCACGAAAATATGATGCAAAGTTCACTGACGTCAACTTCCCTCCCAGTAGAAAACAGAAGAAAAAGGTATTTTTAAAGATATTCTTGAATGGGACACTTTGGTCCCTATGTCACTGTTTCATGCCTTGCGTTTCTCACGTAACTGTTTCAGTGTTTTGCATCCATTATTGACACAGTGGGGCCTTGCTATAATAGGATCTTTAAAGATCTTAGCCTTAAGTAAAAACTTTAAGCACAATCTTTTTGAGAAGTAAATGGAGAAATTGTAGAAAGAGAAAACGTTGAATTCATTTCAATATATTTTCAAAAATAAATATAACAGAATTGTGATTATGAGTAAATATAAATGTTATTAAACCTTGGTGAACTAGATATTTATATATTAGCAAATTGGAAGGGGAAGGATGGAATTTAGGGAGAAGAACAGAAGTCCAAACTTTCTCTTATAAACTTGAAAGTATGGAGTTAAGAACAAATTATAATGACATAAACTCTTTTTCATTATCTTTCTCTTTTTGACACAGGGATCTTTTAGGAAAAAATACTTCTGTAATTGAAAAAAGAGCAGTCTCTTCTTCTTGTGTCAAAATCAATTAAATTTAATGTTAATTTAAAATAGTTTATATTTAGTTTATCCTCTGTGCCTGAAGTTATGTCTGAAATTGTTCAGGCAAGATTTTTTTGTGTTAGTATTGTTACCTTATTTATTTATTTATCTTAATTCATTGTACTGCTTCAGTTCTTTTCAGTAGTAGATATTTATCATTTTTAGGAACAAAGTTATTGTTTTTTAAAAATCACGATCAACTCTTTGTTGTGCTTCAGGGACCAAATCTTAAAATAGGCTGCTTTCTGAGGAAATTTATAAATCTGGTCTGTTTTAAAGATGTGCATTAATTAGTGTCAGGGCATCTGACTGGCTCAGTTGGTAGAGCATGTGACTCTTGATCTTGGGGTTGTAAGTTTGAACCCCGTGTTGGGTGTGGTGATTACTTAAAAATAAAATCTGGAAAACAAATAATGTCATTAGTTTAGAATGAGTCGAATAAAGTCTACAGCATGAAATTAGTATTCCTCATTTTGACATGAAAACTGTATAGCTAATATTAACAAAATATTGTACAAGTATATTAACATAATCCCAATGTTAAACAATAGAAGGCCATTTCCTAGTCTCATTGTAAATAATTTTTTTGTTTTAAATTTAAGAATAAAAATAGCAAATTGGGAATAAGTAACTGGCCTTTACTAAATGATTCTTTTTTGGGGTTAAAAAAAATCTGATATAGTTGTTTTTCCTAAAAGTTGAAATGCTGTTTTGTTTTTAATTTTTTTATTTTTAACATTTATTCATCTTTGAGAGACAGAGAGCTAGAGTGTGAGTGAGAGGGGGCAGAGAGGGAGGGAGACAAAGAATCTGAAGCAGGCTCTAGGGTCTGAGTTGTCAGCACAGAATCCGATGCAGGGCTCGAACCCATGAACCTCAAAATCATGACCTCAGCTGAAGTCAGACGTTTAACCAACTGAGCCACCCAGGTGCCCCAAAATGCTGTTTTACCATGAATATTGATTAGACCATTTTGACATATGCTGTGCCCTTAATTAGATTACCAATTTGATCTACTCGCAGTTTATATTCTACTCAGATTTAACAATTTTTTTATAATGCTTGTTTTTCCTAATATATTTCCTATAGAAAACAAAACAGAATTATCCTTTCATTAGAAACGTATTCAGAAGTTTTCCCCACATACAGGGATTATGTGAGAAAGTACATACTACTGAGAGGATAGTTATATTTTCATCATTGAGTAAACATTTTTTATCAAAAATCTAATGCTTGTTTTTGTTTGCAGAAAAGAAAGGAACCAGTTTTTCACTGTTTTTGTGATACCTGTGATCGTGGTTTTAAAAATCAAGAGAAGTATGATAAACACATGTCTGAACATACAAAAGTAGGTTTTTCTTGGTTGCCCTGACGTGTTTTTAACAAAATGAGTATATTTGGTAGAAATTTTGAGCTTTTTTTCCTTAAAAGTTTATAGTTTTCATAGAAATGTCATTTGATGTCTTGACACATTGAGATAGGGACCCTGGGATTTGCAGTTGGAGGGTGGGGAGCCTACTGCTTCAGGAAGAGGCAAGATGGCAGTAAAGAAAGGAGGTCTGACAACTGAGTGCTCACCTCCTCTGCTTGGTAAGAGTGCTGGGCCTCACCCCAGTTGCTCTGTGTACCTTTGTGTGTTTTTTCCCCTTTAAGGTTGCCCTTGACCATTTAATCACACTGTGTAATTTGCCATGGCCCATCACTCTCTAAGGTTGGTCTGGACCTTA